TGTGACAGAGGATTAAGTCGCTTTGTAAAAGACGTCTCATCACACACACATGCTGCACACACACACACACACACACACACACAGTCGTGGTGCTGATGCTGCAGTTAGTAAAATAAAATGTTTGTCGTGTTTTTTCTGTCTATAAAACTTTTCTCACATAGAAACCTGAAAATGAGCAGAAAACTGTATTTTAAATAACTCAGCTTTCCCCCAATCCATGTCATGTAGGTTTTTTGTTGTTTTTATCACTTAAAATAAAAACCCGTACAAAGATTTCGAGTAAAAAAGGAGAAATGTTTTACTTACAACTCGTACAATAAACAGCTGGTCTCACACACACACACACACACACACACACACACACACACACACACACACACACACACACGCACACGCACAGGCGACCATATGGCCTTCAGTCATTTGTCACCAACCAGCTGTTGGAGATGAACACTTAAATAAAAAAAGCAGCATAAAGATTGTCAGAATATTTAAACATCTTTAAAAACATTTAAATCTAGAAATATTCCTAAATATCTTCTTCTAGTTTTCATTTTCTGTCAAAAAACATTTTAAATCTGTTTCCTTCCTCCTCTCTTCTTCTTCACTTCTTTGGAGAGAGGAGAGAAAGGGGCGGGGTTTAAACTGACTGGCAGCTCATTCGACCAATCAGAGAGAGGAACAGCTTGCCAGGTCTCCACGTCAGCCAATGGGAACGCTTCGGGAAAACCCTCCACCTGAAACACAGAAAATTATGAGTTTATTTTTATTTAAATTAATAACTTAACAGGTGAGAGCGTCTCTCACAGGTATGAAGGCCAGGTTGTCACGGAGACAGACTTCCTGCAGCTCGCCACGCAGCGCGGTCACGTGACTGATGTGGGCAGAGACTTCCTGTTCCAGCCAGCCAATCCGTGAGCAGCAGGCGAGAAACAGCTGAGAGGCGGAAGAGAGGAGAGTCTGCAGGAAGAGAGAGAGGGGAGTCAATAAAGAGAGTCCAACAATACGAGAAATAAAGTAATATATATTACATATTTAAAAACAACCTCAGTAGACCAAAGAGCTGTACAGGGAACACATAAAATATAGAATGACACAATAGGAGCAAAATAATAAAACAATAGTTAAAAACAAGATAAAAAGTACAAAAACATATAAAAACACATACAAATGTCAAAATGTCATGTTCAACCTCACCTGACACGCTGCCAACTCCGGAGCTCCCATGATGCACCCTGCTCCACTCAGGTGCTCCTTAACTGCCGGCAGGGGGCGGGGCTTAGCTAACAGGCCGCCACGTGATTGGACGAGACTCTCCCTGACCTGAGGACAGCAGACGTTACACTCCAAGCTCGAGCAGATATCAGATATGATTTAACTGCACTAATCAGATACAGAAAGGAGGTTATATGTGTGTGTGTGTGTGTGTGTGTGTGTGTGTGTGTGTGTGTGTGTGTGTGTGTGTTCACCTGCTTGTAACTTGTCTCCGCAGCCTTCATGTTGCTGATCAGACAATCTCTATGTCTAGGAAAGAAGAAAAAGTTAAATAAAGGGTGAACTACTGCAGTTAAAATGAGGTTAAAATGAGGTGTGACAGGTGTGTGTGTGTGTGTGTGTGTGTGTGTGTGTGTGTGTGTGTGTGTGTGTTACCTGTGTGTGTCGCTAAGCTCTTCCTCCAGGTGTTTCCTCTCCCTCTGCACCCCCGACAGGTGTTTACCCAGAATCCTCAGCGAGCGGTCCTTCCTGGTCACCTCCTGCCGAGCGTCACACAGAGACTGGAGGGGCATTTATATATTACAATTACATTTAAAACATTTGATTTATTTGGAAAAGGGGAACATTTCAGACAAAACGTAAGGATTTAAATACACAAAACGTCTCTCTGCCTAATCAACAGGTAAACAATTAAATAATGAATATAACGTACCTGAGCGGTTTGGCCGAGTGTGTGTTGAGCGTCGGTTTGTTCCTGTAGGAGCGTCTGGACTTCCTGCTCTCTGCTCAGCGCCTGACGAAGCTCCACACAAACACTGTGGAACTGCTGCTCCGGGACCTACACACACACACACACACACACACACACACACACACACACACACACACACACACACACACACACACACACACACACACACACACACACACTAAGAGTCAGGTGTGTTCATCACAGACAGTACAGGTGTGTGTGTGTGTGTGTGTGTGTGTGTGTGTGTGTGTACTCACCGTCTTGCAGCTCTCCTCTCTCTCCTGCCTCAGTCCTGTCTTCAGATTGGCTACCTCCAGCCTTAAGCCCCGCCTCTCCACCTCAGCCGAGTGCAGCCGTTGGCTAAAAACCAGGAAGTGCTGCTGCAGGGTCGACACCAGCGCCTGGGAATGATCAATACATTATGTGTAATTAATGTTGTGTGTTGTTGTATCATAAAAAATAACATTTATTCTTTATTTTATCTGTGACATCCCTGAATATTCTTTATTTTTTTGAAAACATATTGTTTATTTGTTCTATTCTACAGTCTGTTATTGTAAATATGTCATCTTGATATATTATTATAATACATGTTTTACCTTGCTGTCGGGCTGTGGAGGCGTCACTCTGTTGAGCCCGCCCCTCAAACGGCCGCTCAGCGAGTCCTCGTCCAATCCGGAGCCAGACAGACCGGACTTTGCCTCTGATTGGTCGAGAAGGTGATCCAGGAGGCGGGACAAAGCGGAACGAGCCAATGGCGTCACATCTGGAGGGGAGGAGCCTGGAGAGACATATTTGTAATGTTTTATTTGATTCTTTTTTTTATAAGTTTATCTACAATTTGCTGATCATGTTTATTTACTTTTAACGACCCAAATAAGAGATGATTAATTGGTAGTCATTTTTTCATTTATTTTGAATAACACATTTTCTGAATATATATATGTGTGTGTGTGTGTGAGTATACGTGTGTGTTACCAGAGTGTATATGTGTGTGTGTATATGTGTGTGTGTTACCAGAGTGTGTCAGCGCCCCCTGCAGGTCGGCCATGGAGGACAGGATGACGGAGGAGAGACGTTTGGAGCGCAGCCAGCGAGCACATACACCTCCATCAGCATCTTTATAAAACATCAAGTAATATTTTTAATTCTTGAATTAATTATTAAATTAAATAATATTTGTAAATATTTTATTGCTTTTTTCTAAATTTCGAGGGAAAAATATCAAATATTTAGAATTTTTTTTAATGTCTTGGCCCTCACCTGAGGTGGGAGTGATTTGACCCTCCTGTGTTTCCGTAGCGCTGCAGCCTCCTCCCTTCTGCAGCCTGAACACCACAGCTGTGTGTTTACTGATCAAACACCACCTCCTCACCGCCATCACCACACACACACTCTTCCTCCACCTCCTCACCGCCATCTTCCTCTTCCTCCCTTCCTCCTCCTCCTCCTCCTTTCCCAGAGCTCCCAGCAGGCTCCTCACCTCGCCCTCCAGCCCCTCCCTCTCCTGCAGCCGTCTGCACACCACCCTCTTCTGCACACACACCTGCTGCAGGCGGAGGTGTGTGTGTGTGAGCGCCCCCCCCAGCAGGACGCACGCCCACAGGAAGCAGGACGCCTCCCCCCGCAGGAGAGAGAGGTCGGAGGTCATGGAGGAGGCGTGGTGACGGAGGGAGGAGAGCTGAGAGCGGCTCACCTGAGACACAGAGGGGGGGGGTTAGAGTCAGGGGGTTAGAGTCATTTGGTGGGTTATTAATTAACTATTTATTTGCATCATAAATCGGGAGCACGTTAATGAGAACCAGATTTCACTTTGAATTGGTTTCCAGATGTGGCCGTGAGGTCAATCTCTCTGTCCGTCATCTCCTCACAGAGAGAGAGGACTCACTGAGGAATACTTTACAGTCTGCTGAGTGTGTGTGTGTGTGAGAGAGAGAGAGAGAGAGAGAGAGAGAGAGAGAGAGGGGGGAGAGAGAGAGAGAGGGAGGCAGAGAGAGAGAGAGAGAGAGAGAGAGGGAGAGAGACAGAGGGAGAGGTGTTTAGTTTAAAACTAGAAAGAATGTTTTTTACTATTAATATTTTCATTTAATGTTGTTTTTATTTATTATTCATTATAAATTATTCATATTTTTAAATATATTTTTATATTTAATTATTAATTGATATTGATTTATTATATACAATTATTCATATTTTTTTATCTCACACACACATTAACATTTCAGTGTCTCTCACCGTGTCGTTGGCCTCCCGCAGGTCGGAGGTCACTTGACCCACCTGCTCGTTGATGACATCACACAGCTCCTGCCAGGTGAAATTACCCAGCATGCTTTGGGGCTGACGGAGCAGGACGCAGCCGGCGAGAAGACGCTGATACACACAATACAGGAAGGAGAGACGCACCTGACACACACACACACACACAGACAGACAGACAGACAGACAGACAGACAGACAGACAGACAGACAGACAGACAGACAGACAGACAGACAGACAGACAGACAGACAGACAGACAGACTACGTATAACTTACGTAATAATGTATAGACT